CACACACACACACACACACACACACACACACACACACACACACACACACACACACACACACACACACACACAAAATAATATGAGAGACATTCTTGAGCTTTACAGTTGGTCGCTAGGGAATTACTAAGTTCTTTCTTTTTGTCTTGTTCAAAATTATGTTTGGTGTAGCTTGATCTTTTCTGGATCAGACCAGGATGTTGACTTATCCTTTTCTTGGTTGTTGCAAAGAGGATAACTTTGTAAACGTTTGTACTGGACTGTCGTGGAAGGATTAGTGGGGTAACCTCTTATTTCAACATATCTCCACTCCAGGGCATACATGTCTCTGAGGCCTTTAGGCTTCTGCAGCCTTGTTCCTCTTTATGGTGTTTGTTTGCCCTTGAGCCTCTGGAGAATAAGCCCTGACTAATCAAAGATTGAAAAGGTTCAGTTCTTAACCTGACAAAGCTTATTCTGCTAGTTTCAAGATATTTTGTAGTGTTTCTGTCAAGCAGTTTGGGATCGTACCCTGTGACTTCTGTTAGGATTCCATCGGGCATCTACAGTACTGGTCTCCTGTGGTTGTTCCTGGAGTATCAGGGATGTTCACACCTTTGTAGTGATCCTCAACCTTTGTTTCCAGAATTCTAGACTTTTTACACTCACAGAATCCCTCATCATGGGCCATATGGGGCAAAGCCTGTGGGAGTGGTTGAGAACAACTCTTACAGAGGTGGTGCTGATGAAGTCCAATACGCCTGGTCAGTCTTCACAGACCTTTTCTGTTCCTCGGAAGATTTTTCAGTTTGCAAGGATTCTTTAGTAGATAAAACAATGTGGAGAAGATTCTTGTGTGTTTGTTTTAATCTTCTAAAAACGGAATTATATATGGGGTTTTTCTAGAAATGGAATATGAAGGAGTATTTTTTTGAAAACCACCAAACTAAGAGGATTCTTGGTTTTGATCCAGTGATTTTTTTAAAGAATCAAATCAATTTGAATCAAATCCACCCTGCAGCTGGGATCTAGTGAATATCTCACTGGATATTGGCCCATTCTGTGTTTGGAAAGGCAAACTTCACCCTCGTTTTGACACACTACTTCTACCTACTTTGCCATTGACCAGGCTAGTGGCTAGTATTGAAAGGAGCTGGCGTTTAATACCACGAGGAGGGCTACACATTATCTAGTTGCGCTCTCAGGTTTGTTTGTCCCAGTGATTGCATTAGATAAGGAGTTTGGAACTTGCTGCATTTTGCTTATTTTCTGCTGTAGGGCCTATTGTTTCTGATCACAGGCTGTGCTGACTGAGATCTATGGGAGTTGTAGTCCAAACTACCAGAAGGAGCCACATTGGACGAAGCTGCTTTACGCACGAAAAGGTTGTACTGCCACCAGTTAAAGGGAGCTGTGCAGTATTCCCACACAAAACCCCACAAAAGCGAATGAGAGACTGTGCCTATTGCTGTTATCTGCTCTTTTTTTTTTTTTTTTTATAAAGGCCATTTTGTCTCCTTGCACATACCTGCCATCAGTGAGACTTGATATTTCTCACCAAAGGAGGACCAAGCTCTGGTGGCTCCTTTAATATTTTATGTGTCTGAAGGAATGTTGGTGGCTCAGCTCTTCCTGCACAGCTATTAAAGGCACCCGAGCCTGGCTGTCCTTTACATCTGGTCACTCTAGCTGAGGCATGCAGCATCTCACGGAAGCCAAGAACCCTTGTTTGGGTAAATGGGAGAAGCTCTAGTTGCTAGCTGAATGCAGGTGGTTGTTCTACATTCACATATGGAATTCAGCTGTGTCAATTCACAAAATATGTGCTTGCACTTCAGCGAGGTTGTGTTTTCATGTGTCTGTCATGCGCTGTATGACTGTTCCTGCTTTCTGTCTTCCCTTTACTGTATCAGTATTTTGGGAAGTGACTTTCAGTGAGAAAAAAAAAGGACATTATGGTGCAGTAATACAGAACTTTTGAAGGCTGCTTTAGGTTTTCAACTAAAATATGAACATAGAGTTTGTATGGATTGTGCAGGAGGTATAAAATGTCAGTGGCAGGTAGAAACTGAAACTATCTACCTGTGGTTAATGGAGTGCTTTTGTGATGTAGGTTTCTGAAGGTTCCCAGTGCAGTGGAAATTGCAGTATTTTTGAATGAGAGTTCTTCCAGGGGTTTGTGATGCTTAGCACTGCAAATGTTTTGTTAATATAAGAATGGTGCCTGGTGCTAATTGTGGGTGCCTGCGTGCAGCCAAGGCAACAGACACAGGTGGGTCAAAAGTGAACATGTACACATGTGTTGAATCTCTTCCCCCCCCCTTTCTCTCATATTCAGACACTCCATCTGTCTCCAGTTTATCCGCACCACAACTCAGCTGCAGAAGAGAAAAATACACCTTGCTCTCAAATTAGAAATGTTCCTACCTGATGCTGGTGCTTTGCTTTTAGTCTACCTAAAAGTGCTGGGCAGTTGACTAATCCACTCCATTCATGCTCTCTTGTTCTTCCCCTCCCTGTCTTTGTCACACACCCATGTAGTGTGATGAGGCTGGGAGTTCAACAGGAGGGGCAACACAGTTGGAGTTCTGGCCTCCCATGTTCAGGATGGAGACACTCAGGAACAGGCTGCCTGAAGAACAGATGTGCCCCTTTGCCTTTATATCCTGGCCACCACTTAAATATAATGCCCTATGAGGGTGAAAGAGGTGTCTATTTCTTGTATGCTGAGTTCTGGAAGCATCAGTCTCTGACCCGGAAGGCTTTTTAGGTGACCCTTGATATGTCCAGTCTTTTGAAGCTACTCAGGGGTGAAGAAATGGGAACCAACCCCAAATGTTTTGCTGCCTTAAGCAAAATATTTGTGTATGAGATCCTTTCCGCTCTGCCTGTAGAATCTTAGTGGCCTGTCAGCTGAATCCTCCAAATTGATGTGACGCTGTCTACCAATTCTGAGGCAGATGACCTGTGGGTGGGTGGGGGATAAATTTGTGTGGTGTATGTAGCGCTGTCCTTCCTTGGAGGGTGACAGGTGGAAAATTCAAGAGGTACAGTGGAGAAGCAGCCACCACTCTTACTTTCTTGCTTTCGCTGCCAGAAGTGGTTGTGATAGTGGACTGGCTCTGGCAAAGATAATGTGGAAGTCTTGAGATCTGTCGTGAATTTTACCCTCATCCTGTAGTCAGTTTGCTTTTAGATGTTGTAGCTGAGCCTCCCTTAATGGCTGGGGTTGATTGAATAGGCCCATTTTTCATTTTTGCTGACTTCATGCACTTGCTATCTTCTGTTTTCATGTCCTCTGATTGACACAGCTTGGTGCACTTCCTCAGCCCAGAAATTTCATTGACATTTGAGTGGATTTGCTCAGGGGGAATGGTGAAGAGACAGTGAATCTCCAAGTAATGTAGTGCTCCTCATACTAGAGGTGAGGGGTGGGCAGAGGGGAGGAGGAGGCCTACACAAATCAAGAAATAGGGTTCAGAGAGCAAAGCCTCTCCAACTTACTGTTTTGATATGCATGCAATTTAATAAGCCGTCTGTTCAGCAGACAAAGTAACCCCAGGTCCAGCCCCTGCTTTGACAGTGGGCAGGCGGATGAAAGTTTGGGAGACCTACCTCAGAGGACGATGATGGCTGACAGTTCTTTCCTTCACCCCACGTGGCTGAGGGCAGTCTTTTGAATGTGCCCTTGGGCCTTTGCCTTCCTTCCTCTTTCCTGCTCATTTGAAAACCTGGCTCCTTAAAAAGAGACAAGATAAGCTTTTGAGCGCTGAATACCATGTCTTCCCTGTTATCTGAAAGGGTCTTATATTAATTTTTGCTCCAAAAACACATTAGGGCTTATTTTGAGGGATGCTTAATTTTTTTCATGTACCATCTACGTTTATTCCAATACAGTCATGTCATCTTCTTCTGGTTGCTGCACAATGCTGGAGGGCAGGGTTTTACTTAACTGGGGCTTATTTTGGGGGTAGGGCTTATATTATGAGCATCATGCAAAATCATACTAGGGCTTATTTTCAGGTTAGGTCTTATTTTCAGGGAAACAGGGTAGTGTGTAATCTTGTGTGTGTGTCTGTAGGATTTTTAAAAAATGGATACACAGTATTGTACTATGTGTTGGTTATATGAGGAAAACATATGTAAAAGTGTATGTTTTCAGTGTGTGGGGAGAACACCTGTTAACAAATTGCAGGAATTCTAAGTAATCCTGGTTGCATCACTCACTATCTAAAAAGCGTAACTTCTGTTACACTGAATTGTGCATAGTCCCTCTATTGCAGGTGCCACTTGCTGTTGCAGCATACCTGTATAGCAGGTTGTTGTAATGTTCATTTTTTGCAGGAGAAGAATAGTGAAGCTGAGAGAACACTAGGTTAGGTGAAAAATGCAAAGGCAGTGTTAAATCTGTTTGAAACATCAGTGCAACCTTCTAATCTCTGGTTCTGGATAATGGCTGTCCAGTATAAGAAAAACACTGAGTGCCTTTTTGCAGTACATAGCTGGAGTACTGTATAACATTAATATTAGAAAAGTTGGCAGTTTCTCTTTAAGAGGATTAAAAAAAAACCTAGATTGCCACCTGTTTGGGGGATAGTTTCAGTCATACTGCTGGATGGTTTATACCAGGCAGTGGATGGAGAGAAGGTACCATTTTTGGTTGTCCCGTGGACTTCAGTTGCCTTCAGTATCATTGATGCCACAAGTAACCTCCTGGATTGCTTGGCCAATATAGTAGGGATGGGAGGCATGGTGTTACCTTGGCTCCAGCCCTTCCCAGAAGGGAAGATCCAGCAAATGGACCTCAGTGTTTTATACCTCATAGCCATTGGCTTGTGCTTCAGGGTTTCATCTTGATTCCTATGCTTTTAAAAAATCTGTGTGAAGCCACTTAGGGAAATCATTTGGAGGTTTCACCTAAGGCATCACCAGCATGCTGATGACACACAGCTCTATTTTGCATTTCCACAGCCTCCCCAAGATTTATGGATGAAAGTCCTCAGTGGGTTATCTGGAGGCATTTCTAGATTGGATGCTAAGCTTCTTTGCTCTTAAGAACTTGAGGCTTAATTCCAGGTAAGACAGAAGTGCTGCGAACAGTGAAACTGGCCAGTTTTAGAAGACTTAGAACTGTGTTAGGTGGAATTACATTCTCCCTGAAAAATGAGATGTACAGCTTGGCGTATCTTCCTGTACATTGGCTCTGCTAATGTAGGTGCCGGTGGCTTTGGTGCCAGCTATACTGGTTATTTTGCCTGTTGTGCTTATACTTTGTGAAAGCACCAGTGGCCACTGTCATTCATACGCTAGTAGCCTCCAGGTTAGACTACTGCAATCTATTTTATGTGAGGATCCCTTGAAAGCTTTTGGGAAGCTCTGGCTCATAGAGAATTGAGCTGCCTATGAGCTGCCTGTGGATCTAGGTTATTGGAGAACATAATAGTGAATTAGTACAGCTGCTGGTAGTTCACTCCCAAGCCTATTTTAATGTCCATGTAAAGTCTTTTTCAGTCTTAAATGGCCTTAGACCAGCTTGTTCATAAGAATCTTCCCTGTCAGTACCATTAGCTACTGAGATCCTGCTGTCTGCTCTGCCCAGCGAAGGTCGTTAGACAAGAGATGATGTGTTACTGTACTGTGGGATTCCCTGCCACAAGAAGTTCACTTGCATCTGCTTGAGCTGGACTTTAGAGTCCTAACAGTTAGCATCCATCTTTACTCTTTGGGTTGAAACTGGACCAGGCTTTAAAATGTATAATGATAAAACGTTCCTTTTTAAATATCCCGACAGAAATGTGCACCTTAATCTTTGAGATAGGCATAATATAAATGTGGTTTATTTCAATCCTGACTTTGTATTTTGAAACAATATGTTTATATGATTTTATTATAGAAGATGGACGGTATGCAAGGTATTAATAGTCTTTAAATGTAGCTATTCATTTGTTTAGAATAAAAATGCTGATGAACCAAGATGATTTCCAGGTCCTCACTGGACTATATCGGAACCTATATATGTGATGGCAATTGAAGAATTCTCACTAACTTCATTTGGCAATGTTAACATAACTAAAAGAAAGAAAAGAAAAGAATCGTGGCATTGTTAAGGTTAACAAAGTCTGCTTCTTCACACACGTGGGAACCATCTGTTTGACGGAAGTGAATTGGGATCCATGAACATTTACCTTGAAGTACAATTTTTAGTCTCAAGGGAGCCACAAAGGAGTTATTGTTGTTGCTGCTGTTGCAGAAACAGACCAACATATCTGCCCATTTGAAAACTGACATAGCTAAGCACTGTTGCGACTCTTCCTGGTTGCTTGTAATCTGGTAAGTGGCAGGATCAAGGCAGGGATGGTGAAAGGATTGTGCTGTTGCTGCTGCTGCTGCATGTGTTTACACCACCAACTGGGCATAATATATTATCTGCCTTTATCTGGTCTGGCCATTGCAAGCGTGGTTGTTTACCAGCTGAAGAGGTTGTTGCTTCAACAAGCAAAGACTACTACGCTTCGGGAATCTGTGGCTGTGAAAAACAGCACTAATGAAACTTCTTATGGGTTGTGGCAACACTGTTGTGTACTTAGATGTCAAAACAGTCTTTCTCCATGAATATTTATGAGATCATGTCTTTCCACCAATAATATGTAGTTATCTGTTCATCAAAGTAATACTGGTTGATGGTTTATGGTTCATTAGGTGTGGTACACTGAGCTTGAAAATTTTACTCTTCTGGACTACGGCTTCCAGAGTCTCTCAAAGAGTTTGGCTTCAGTGGTCATGCTGGCTAGGGATTCAGGGGGTTGTTGTCAGAAAGTCATGTTACATGGTATGGGTATAGGCTGGGCAAATTGTGATGTTCCAGATGTTGATCCAGAGGCTAGGTTGGTAAGTACATGAGATAGGATTTCTTCATTTGCAAAGCTCCCGTTGTCATCCTTCAGAAGCTTCTGGCAGATGGCCCAAATGGTCCTGTTCTCTTTAGCCTTCAGCTTTCAAAACTGGATTTAAAAAATAATTAAATCTGTGGTTAGCAAGTGCTTTTATCATGTTTTAAAAATCCTAAATCACTTTGGGAACCCTATTGGACAGAAAATGAACTACTGTTTCTTTCATCCTTTCTAACTGGTGAGGATGGAAAGGGGTTAAGGGGAATTGGAGTCTGCCAACATCTGGAGGTCCATGGACTTCACTACCTTGTTTTGTGTTGTAATTCCAGTAATTTAAAAGAGAACTGATGGAGTGGGCACATATTGGTTTGAAATTAATTTCTTAAAGCCAGCTATTAGATGTGGAAGCTAAGAAGTCTCCATTAGTGTATGTTTTGTTTCCTTTCTATGAGGCACATATGCTAACAATTGTGTCCTGTTTCAGCATCTAGAATTGGGAGATTAGTCAAGCTGCCCTTGTTTAATGTTACCCAAACATCCAAGTGCTGTGAGCTGTCATGCTTAACACCCATAATACTCTGTAAGGCATGATTATACTTGAAGGGTTTGTTACGTGCATATTCAGTGTGCACAGTGGGATAATACTGTTTTAGTGGTTTTGGATAGCTCAGTGAATTAGGTATCTGATTGTGGAGCCAGAGGTTTGGTGTTTGATTCTTCACTGTGCCTTCCAGGAGAAGAACCAGCATGTATAGCCTTGGGCAGGCTGTGTAGGCCCAAAGCACCCTCCCCCCTCAAAGAAGGGACTGGGAAACTGCTTTTGAATACTCTATACCAAGAAAACCCTGAAAGGGTCACCATATGTCATAAGTGATGTAATAATTAATTATTATTATCTGATGTTGCCTTCACAGAATTCCCAAACTACTCTTGGAAACTTCACTTCAAACTCCAGAATGTATAGGGTTATCAGCTGCCTTTTGGGCTTCTACTAACCCATCATGTAATCAGAGTGTAGTCTTCTTACCGTTGTAATTTAAAGTCCTTTATCTGACAGAACTGTCTCCAAAAAGCCTAAGAAATAAATAAAAATAGCACTGTGGGGACTTGGTGCAAGAGTCAAAGAGAAATGCAAGGGTACTTTTTAAAATTCCAGGTGCTTTATACTCCCATCCCAAACTATCAGTTAAAGCAGTTGGGGAGAATAACTTCTGAACAGGGAACAAAAGTTTTCCTGCCCTTTGATTGCAAATTAATTATTTTTCAGTAGAATTTCTGGTCCACCCCCCGCTGTATTATTTGCACTGGAAGAAGGGTCAGGGCATGGGCCTTGTGTAATGAGGAACAGTACATTTGGTCCTTCATGTAGTTCTTCCAGCATACCCAACCGTTGGTCATGCTAACTGAAGCTTTAGGGAATTGGAAGTCCAGAACATCTAAAGATCCAAAGGTTGAGAACCTTACTGACATAGTAGACAGATATGGCCTAATGCTGCCACTGTGATCACAGATAGCATGAAGCTGTTTTGCATTATGGAAATGGACAGAGATTGAACTGACTCACTTGTCTTTAATCAAAAATATTAGAACACACAGTGTGGCAAGATGATTGTACTCACTTGTCTTGTCTAGGATGCTATTTTGATAACAAGTTTTTCTGTGTACTCTTGCTGATTGTTGTATTTTTAGAAATAGGGTGGCAGGGTTTTAAATCCTGTGGCTAGAATTATTTGGAGTTTTCAGATACATTGCAAGGACCACTTAATACTGTACTGCTTTCTGAAGATAAGAATCTTACTTAGTTGAGATACATTTACTCAAAATTTCTTGAGAGAGTTGGATATGAATGGCAGTAATCCTACAAAACGAGTCTTGAATGTTATATTTAGACCAAATCATCTGAATTCTTGAACCTCAGGATTTTTTCTGTTTTGCTTCTTAGTGGTACTTTGGTTTATTTCAGTCTGTTTATAAAAGAATAACTTCATATTAATGCAGCTGAATTAAGACAGCTGTCTTATACACACAACTGGTGTCACTACGTCTTGCTCTCCATCATGTAGTTGTACATGTTGCCCCAATGTTAGTGAGTATTCTCTCTATTAGTTGTCAGTGTGTTGTGATAGTTACAAGGCTAGTGGTATTTTTTTCCAAGAAACTATGATAGGCCTGAATTAGTTTTAAAAGTGATATATATGTTTCAAAAATGAATCTTTCAAAACAGAAAATAGATGGATGTAGTTGGGCTGAGCTGCTGTGTATGAGTTTGATCATATTTACTGTCTGTAGCAGAAGAAGAACAGGAATAGAGTTTGGCTTGGTTGAGCTACATAAGTGTCTGATGAATTTCAATTGGTGGCTTTTATATAGGTTTCTAGAGTCTTAGAAGAACCCTGCTTCCAGATGGCCAGTGGCTGATTTCACAGAAATGCTTTCGATATGTGCCTTTCCTATGTTGGGAACATGTTATCTGAACACCTCGACACGTACATTTAAGTTGGCTAGCCTGCACATGTTGATAGAAGCTAGATGTCTTTATTTAGCAAAGGCTGTTTGGCTGTTTGGTTCCTTTTTAAGTTTTACAATCTTTTACAGTCAAATAACTAACAAAAATAAGTAAAACATTATGTGAATGTCCTTCTGGTTATTTTCCCAAAGTGCAATTAGTGCTCAGTGAAGCTGACTATTGCTTGTCCTACAGTGCTGGAGTGGTGCAGGATTTATTGTACACCTTAGTACAGAAGTGATTATTTATCTGAACACCGAGATCCTGCCTTTTAGAAGAATCATTTTGATTGCGAGCAGGATAGTGGTAGCTTCCACTGGATACGTTTTTGTGCTGTAGGATTCATGGTCCAAGGTGATAATGCAGTGCGAAAACTGGATGACATTATATATTCAGGATTGCGTAATGGTGAATGGTTGATTCTTTTAGCCATTACACCTTTCTGAATAGTCAACCGATGGCATTGTAGAAGTTTACTACTATTCCCTGTAGATTCTGCAGGGCTTAGCAGTCTTAGGGAAGAAGGAACAGGCAAACCTAAGACTGGGTAGAAGGGCCGGGGAGATACCCTTTCCTTAGTGAGCGCCTGTTACCTCTGGACCACATTGGGTTGGGAGACAAAATCAACATTTGAAGTGCCATTGTTGAATGGTTGGGCATCAACCCTTTAAAAAACCGAG